GGCAGGGTGCAGGGAAGGCTCTCAGAAATCCACAAGGATGACCCCACCTTTGACTGCTGGCAGTGGTCTAGAGGGTGCCTGGATTGGTCTACTCTAGTGACCGTTCTAGTGAATACCCTAACCACTATCACAGAGCCTTTGTCCAGTGACTGATGGAGACAGATGCAGAGAAGAATCTCCTCTTCCCCGGCAGATTCATGCACACACATACCCTTGAGCCCTCCTTGTTATTATTTATCTTTAAAAGGAAGAAGCACAGGAGAATAGGCAGGAGGAGGCGGGGAGGAAGTAGAGGAGGAAGAAGAGGAGGAGGAGGAGGAGGAGGAGGAGGAGGAGGAGGACTGCTGAGGTCAGCCCTCTGATTACTGTTACTGAGTTAGCAGGGTCACAAGCAGCAAACTAGAAGAAGGATTTCCTCCCAGCTTTGCCAAAGTGCTCTTGCTAAACCCCAGACTGTTTGCTCTTCTTGTGATATTCCTCAAGTCCATTCAGTTGTTGCCAAGACCATGCCCCTGGGAACTGCCCAGGGCTGTCTGTGATAAGACAAATTGGCAAGGCAGAGTATCCTTTTTCTTCAAAGCCCAGGGCAGAGTGAACTACCTAGGGCACAAGTCTATTCCACGGCAGTCATGGGCATCCATATTTAAGCCAATAAAGAAAATTTCTATTTTTTAGTTCACATATAATTTCACTACTTAAAAAGATTTATTTATTTTATATATGTGGGTGTTTTGTCTGCATGTCTGTCTGAACACCAGAAGAGGGAACTAGACCCCATACAGTTACAGACAGTTGTGAGCTGCCATGTGGGTGCTGAGAATTGAACCTGGGTCCTCTGGTAGAGCAGTCAGTGCTCTTAACCACTGAGCCATCTGTTCAGCTCCCAATACCTTCATTCCTTAAATGTAAATCAGTTTGCTCCTCTCCCATTCCTGCTGCCCCCATCCTTCCCTGGAGCCCTCTGCTCTGACATCATATGTGTCTGTGTGCTGCACCACCCCCATCTCCTTGAAGACTGCTATTAAAATCCCAAACTTCTGAGATTACAGAGACAGAGACAGAGATGTTGATGGATTCTAAAGCTCATAATCATGTGACCCGAGAGACTGCAGCATACTGACAACACGTGGCCTTTAAGCATTTAACAGGAATTTGTAATGAAGCAAGTTTCCTTCTTCAGACTTACTTATCTTAGAGCCAGACTTCCTTGGTTTCATTTCCAAATCTGTGGTGTATCAGCTGTGTGTTTTTCTGTAGATTACTTACCTCTCTGTGCTCAGTGCCTACATGTGTAACAGGAACTAAAAATGACACCCACTTCAAAGGACCACTAGGAGAATTAAACAGATTAGTACTTAGGATAGTACTGGCTCATGGTAAGTGCTGTGTTAAGTGCTAACCACAATTCCTATCATTTACATGTTTTTGTAAATCCCCAGTTTTTAAATTAAAAATAATTTTATATTGAAACATAGACTTTACATGTTGACAGGCACCATGTAATATTTTAATGTGTATAACAGTATGATATTCAAACCAGGATCTGCATCTCTATCAGGCAATTTCTTGGTGGTGAAAACATTCACAATTCATACTTCTTACTCTGTTGAAATATACATAACCATTGTCTTTACCTGCCCTACTGTGAAACAGGAAATAGTAAATACATCTCACTTAGAAGAGCACATTTTTCCTGGATAACCAACATCTACTCTTTGACTAGATAATCACCCTTCAGTTCTCAGCTCAATATAGAGAACACTTCAAAAAAATAGAATGGATGAACCTACCTAAGTACTAGACACATTAAATACAAGTGTTGGTACTTCCAGGTGATGGAATGCTAAGTATTCATCAATGCTGTATTTCAATAATAACTAAGTCTTTAATAACTCTGGTAAATACTAACTACAATATGCAGACATGCTGATGTGAGAAAGATAATTAAGTACTAACAACTAGGTACAAAATGATAGAGAACTTTAAGTCTTTTATTTATTTATTTTTATTAAGAATTTTTTTATTCATTTTACATACCAACCACTGATCCCCCTTTCATCCCTCCTCCTCCTAGGAATTTTAAGTCTTAAGTCTTAAATCTTAAGAATTTTAAGATTCATGTCATCCTATTAGTTCTAAAATTTTTATAGCAACCATTCATACTTTTAGTACAAGAAAAACAACCTAATGTAATTTTCTATTAAAAATTACATCTTCGGGCTGGAGAGACAGCCCAGAGGTTAAGAGCCCTGCCTGCTCCTCCAAAGGTCCTGAGTTCAATTCCACCAACCACAGGTTGGTTCAAAACTATGTGTAATGAGATCTGGTGCCCTCTTCTGGCCTGCAGGCATACGTGCAAGCAGAACATTGTATACACAATAAATAAACCTTAAAAAGAAATTTCACACTTCACATTGTTATCTTTTATTTATTCTTTGACAATTTGACACATGTCATATTGGACACATGGCTCCTAACCACACATAATCCCCCTACCCCTGTGACAGTTCCTCAAAATGTCCCCTCCCCAAACTGACACATCTATTGCCTCCCCTCTCCCCTCCTTTATCCTCCCCTCAAGCCTCCCCTACCAAGTCCTTCCTCCTCCTTCCCACCAACTCCTCTCCTTCCCACTGGTAGACCCCTAAGTCCATGAGTGCCTACATGCTGACATTTTAACTGCTTTGGTGGCATAACCTTAAGCCGATCTGGTGGAGGCAGCCATAATTGCAGTGAGTTCACGAGTACAAGAGCCAAGACGTCGTGCACCACATTCCTCCCACCCTCTGGCTGGTGCACTCTTGCTGTCCCTCTCCTTGGGACTCACGTTTTTGAAAGTCCCTCTCAACACTTGTCAACAACCATTTAGAAAAGGAACCACCAACAATGACACAGTGCCTGTCACACAGTAGGTGCTCAGTAAAGATCCACAGGATCTCCAACACTGACACAGTACATGTCACATAGTAGGTGCTCAGTAAAGCTTTACTGGATTGTTCTCTTGTCTCAGGGGAATGGGAAGAGGGCAGACTCACATGTGCAAACACCAAAGGGAGCGACTTCCTAAGAAATGCAGAAAGTTTCCTGGATCCACCAAATACTGGTGAGACTGGAGCTTCCCTCAGGAAGGTAACACCTTCTGAAGTCACTGCCCTCCACCCCAGACAGCCTGACAACAGAGGAGCAGCCTGTGCTGGTGACTAAGGACTGGTGGCCAGGCTCTAGAGGCTGCTGATGAGCTCCTTCAGCTGGTGCCCTCTGCTACAGACACCATTCTGAAACTGCACTCTGCATATCCGTCCATTTGTCTCTTCCATTCACAATCCAATGTCTGCTCCCATTTTCCCAAAGTGACTTAGATACCACACTGGCAATGTTTCTTCTAGGTGTATTGTCTTTGGAAAATGGCTCTGTGTCCCAGCTCACCTCTCCCATCTCGGCATTTGCCCTCTACTAACACCCTAGAATCAAGCAGGCTCCCACTCTTGACCCCCAACACGCAGTGGTCACCCTAACAGTTCTAACCCTCCCACTGTCTGCAGGAGAGGCCAGGCTATCCACATGAACATATCTTCTGTTTCCTCCATGGATCTTTAATCTTTCACAAGAGTCTACTGCCCTCAGGAACCCTATAGACTGTCATAATATTCAAGATCCCACTTTCCAAGAGTTGACAACCGCTGGAAGAGGAGCCCAGCATGAAGTCAGACTGCTGACAGGCTCGGCTCCACACTACTGGTTTAAGAGAGTCCTCTGCATGCCCTAATTTTTCTATCTGCAACATGAAGGCAATGTGATGTAGTCTGAGACTTCTCTAATTCTAACCTTCTAGAATAGTCTTCACCTTCTCTGAGCATACTCTGCTCACATTAAGACTCTACCTCACAGACCAATCACTCATTCACATCTGCTATTCCTGCCCCCTGTGCCCCAGAGCAGGTGGCTCTGCATTCCTCAGTCAAATGGAGATGATCACACTGGCTGATGTAGCAGAGGCTCCTTCTTAGCACAGTGGGTTTCAGCCTCCTCAGATTTTTCTACCTACACATGAGGGACAGCCTTCATCCTCAGACTCCCAGATGCCACGTTACTATCTTTCATGTGCCACCTCATTCCACTTCATGGGACAGTTGTTTCCATCACTGGCTCTGCATCAAGAGGCTAAGATCTCCTTGAGGGATCCTGCTTTAGTCTCACTGCACCCACGGCCTTGGTAGGCTGCATCTCCTACACAGGTCACAGGCTAGAAACATGAGTCATTTCCTAGGGACTGCTTAGAAAACATGCATCTCCTTAGGAGGGCTACACATTGTGTCTGCAGCACATACTCATCACTAGGTATCAATCCTTATTTGTGTACTAGAACATTTCTTGTCTGGGTCTCCCATATTTGGTTTCTTTTTCTGCCTCTTTTAACATTGCAAAAAAATATCCTGACCTGCCCCCTCTCTCTCCCCTCTCTGCCTCTGTCTCTGTCTCCCCATCTTCCTATCTGTTCCTTGTTTCACATAGCCTAAAACAACCCTTCTGAATGCTGCTGATTACCCGGTATTTTGTGTGTGGAAGAATCAAGAGTGGTCAGTGCCTTCTGTCTGTGCTCACACCCCATATATGTTCCAGAGACTCCAGACAATCTGGAAAGACTGACATGAAGGCTCCACTGTCTGAGATGCCCACCACCAAGTGCCGTGAGTTCCTATCCACAGCCCGTGCTAGGAGGTGTGAACACTGCATCCTTCCTCTGGGGTTCACAATCACACACAGCCCATCTCAGTCATTATGTTTGGTGTACCACTTCCCCCTCCAGCATGCACCCCACCTCTCCCCTCCAAATCCCTCCTTTCTCTTCCGTGATGTCACTGCTGGGGAAAGACAGTCTGTGAGGAACTCCTCACTTTTGGCCAATTTCAGTTTCCTTCTTGATACCATGACATCATCTTTACTCAGGATATTCCGTTTTCACCAGCACCCCCACATCTTTCCCAGGCCCCAGAGTCCCTATAAAGAGTGGTTCCCAGCTCAGATCAGCACAACACTCAGCCAGCTTCTGCAGCTTCTGGTCTCTGCAGTCTCAGCTCTGTTCCATCCTCTCCCCCAGCAACACCATGAAGCTGTGTGTGTCTGCTCTCTCTCTCCTGCTGGTCATGGCTGCCTTCTGGGCTCCAGCACTCTCAGCACCAAGTAAGTGGACTCTGCCATGGCTGCTCCCTTGGAGACCCAGTGGGTTCAGTTTTCCAGCTGGGGCCAGACCAACAGAAGGGTTTGGTCAGGGGACAAAAGGGAGCTGGAAGATTTCCCACTCTGCTGTTAACAGTAGAGACTACCAGACAGTCACTAATACTGAAGCTCCTGTTTCCTTAAAAATAATCAGCCAATAGAGGGAAATGGTGGCCTGGAAGACAGATATTCTGATGCTTTCTCTGTGGTTAAGACTTGTCTGTCTCTATGACTTGATTTCCCTACCTGAAACATGAAGGAATGGAGAGGTGTTTTGAGACTAAATCCAGTTTCAATCTCCTAGAATTTTTTCTCCTTCTCAAGGACTGGCTTTTTAGAGTAAAAGTCTCATTCTGGGTGGAGGACCATGCATTCAAGGGGCCATGTTTTGGGTTCTAGCAGTCCATAGGGAAGATCTAGAATGAATAGCAGCTTTGACCTTATCCTGGCTTTTTCTTCCAGGGGGTTCTGACCCTCCCACTTCCTGCTGCTTTTCTTACATTGCTCGGAAGCTTTCTCGAAACATTGTGACCGATTACTATGAGACCAGCAGCCTTTGCTCCAAGCCAGCAGTGGTGTAAGTACACACTGGGGGGAGGGAAAGACTCAGAAAGGGCCAGGTTCAGGTGAAAAGGCTAACAGAAGGGATCCAGTTATAAGTGTTGAAGCTGTGCCAAATAACAGTGAGGTCATGAGGTAACTTTTTGAGTTCTGATAGAGGCTGAATAGTCATTAAAATGGGAGAAGAAGATAGCCACAGGCTATGAAATCAGAAACAGTCAAAATGATGCATACTTACGTAGAAAAACCATTTAAAAGAGCAATGAAAAATTGGGAGACATCATCATATTGATCACTAAGCCCACTGTTTCCTAACATAGGGAACCCCAGGGGTCTGACCCACCCAGGGGTCAGAGCTCCAGGAAGTCTAGTGTCAGGGTAATGCAGGAAGGATCCCATCTAAAATGGGTGCCCATAGAAACAATGATCAACAGAGTGAGATGCCTACCACCCACGAAGGACAGTGCTAGATGTCCTCTCAGGTACCATGGGATTCTCATCTGTCCTCTCCTTCTTCTATAGATTCATTACCATAAAAGGCAAGCAAGTCTGTGCGGATCCCAGCCAGCCCTGGGTCAATGAGTATGTGAATGACCTGGAGCTGAACTGAGCTACAGGAGGAACCACTTCAGGGAAGGCCTCCTGAGCCCTGCCACTCCTCATTGAGAAGTGCCTTGCTGCTTCCATTCAGAATTCCTCTCCCCCTTCTTAATCAAGTCTTTATATACACTGTGTTATTTTATTTGGTGTTATTTCTATTTATATTTAGTTAAAGGACATGTTTCTCCTATGGGGATGGTCCACCATTACTGTTTCTCTGCTATTGTGGATATGACCATGCAGTTGATTTCATATACTTTCATAATAAATCTTACTTAAAAATATAGTTCGTGATTTTAAATTGATCTTCATTTGGGTTAAATCTGCCTGATGCTATTATAGATAAACTACAGTTTGCAGAAACAGTGAGAATGAGTAAATACTGAGTGAGACCTTCATGTGTCTTCTTAGCTACATGAACTCAAGACATTTCCTCAATGCTTCTAATGAGAATGGGAACACCTATATGAGGGTGGGGACCGGTGCTTGTAGATTTGCTTGGGAAGCATCAGGAAAGAAGGATCCAGAGGAACAATGTTGATCCTAGGGGTCATTAGATTGACATTCCAGAGGGAAACTGGGACTGGGACAACAACACAAGACAGAGGGAAGGGATTTGGTTCAGTGATAAGGGGACTTCATTGTCTTATCATTGTGACATTAGAAAATCACTGTACCTTACTAGAGCTCATGTTTTCTAACCTGCAAAGTGGGGTAATAGTGCCCACTGTATTGGAATGTATACAGCACCCCAGATGGTTTATCTCCCTCTCTGAACCCCAGCTTGTGTCCCTGGGAAACAAGGATTTCTGAAGTTCATATTAGGTCATGGGTCAGCAACCTAAACCACATAACAAATGGTATGACAAAGCTTAAGTGTCTGGTTTGGCCGTAAAATATAATATTAAATAGAAAATAGAAAATAGAACAAAATAATTCTCAGCCACAAATTACTTCACCTAGGACAGAGAGAAATGTAGAATTGAATGAACAGTAGTTCTGATCAATTGTTCATAGACTGGTAGCGTGTTGGTAGGCCATCCAGTCTAACTCATTGTGTGGAAACTGAGGTTAAAGACTGAGAAATAACCTGCCAAAGGCCACTCAGTGTGTGACACAGCGGCATTGCAGCTGATGTCAACCCCCAGGTCAGGACCCTGTACTGGTATCTTTCCTAGTGACACACTTCTGAGGTCCGCAAAGGGATGACCCCCGAGTCATGTTTCTTAATCTTAAAAACAATGTAGATATAGAAGCTGGAAAGGGTAACAAAATAGTTTCTTCCCCCAGGCTGATGAAACTAATTTTGGACTTCTGATCCCTGCCCCCTGAAGTTTAAGGGATTAAATGTGTTTTGTTTTATGACACCAAGATTACCATGACGTGTGATAGCAGTAATTGGAAACTGGTACAATTGATAGCTGAAGAGTCATTCACTGACAGTGGCAACCCCACAGGTGCAGAAGAGAATGGAACATTCTAGAAAATAAGCCAAACATCCCTAAAGAGTACTCCAAGGTGAGGTAGACATACTCCAAAGAGTTGGACTGCAATGAGACAAGGCTCTGTTTCAACAGGTGTCGATGAGGGCTGATTCTTCCCCAAAGGTTCCTGACCCTCAGAGGGAACATCTCCTAAGGTTTCCGTGGCATAGTGGGCATCTTGAATTCTTAGCTGGACATGAATCCATCCTCTCAGTTGCAGATGAAGCCTAGAGTAGAGTCATGGCCTATTTGTGTTGGCATTACTGCTGAGAGAGCAAGGTTAGGACCAGGATCAGGATCTCCTCCTTCATAATTAGTTCTTGTTCCCATATGGCCACACCTGGGGCAAACGGGCAGGGAGGAAGTCAGCTCCACAGAGGCGGGATCCCAGAATTTCTGGGGCAGATCTATGAGGAAAGGCTTCACCCAGGAACGAGAAAGGATGGGGCAATGTGGTACTCGACCTGCTGTATCGTGTAAAAGTTTGTTCTCTCCCTGCTCCTCTTGGCCAGTGACCTCCTTTTCCAGTCTACTATGAGATATCTTACGTGATGGTTTTGTTTTGTGGTTTTTTTTTTAACAGTGCCTAAACCTTTTATTTTCCATAACCTACATTTTTTTTCAAATTAGACAGTTTTACACTGAATGACAAAAGGAAACTTAAATTACCGATAGTTTACATTAGGATTGATTCCAGTCTTAATGAAAAGTAAAACAGAAACAGAAACCCTCAGGCAACTTTCCACGTTACGCTCCCGTTCTGTGACTCGCAGCTGTTAGCACTCCTGGAATCTTCGATTGTCTGCTGCTTTCCATATAACAGGCTACAAAGCACACAAACCCACAACTACAGCTCACTCAGGATGCTGTCAGCCGCCTGCCCTGCCCGCCAGGCCGCCTGCGGGCTTGTCACCACAGCCCTGGTGCCTGGCGACCACACAAAGCATGCGGGGACGGTGGAGGAGGGAGATGGCAAGAAGAGGGGGCACAGCCGGGCAGGGCCGGGGACAGCAAAAAAGAGGGGGCGCGGGCTTGGCAGCGGCAGCAGCTGATTCTTAAAATGCTGGTGTGGTTTTACATATGGACTTTCTCCAGGTCTCTGGGTCTGCAGGAGAGCCTGAAGAGAGGAGGCAGAGCAAGGGAAGGGACCTGTGGCTTCTACACAATGTCCACTTGCTAGTGGGTACAGCTCTCCTCCCTTAGGGCCTTCCTCCCACACTCTCTTTCCAATAAGCATGGAGTGTGCAGGTATCCCTACGATATGGCATGGAATTCTCTGGGTATATGCTTGGGGCAAAATAGCTTGGTCACAGAGTTGTTGCAGTTTGCTTTTTATTTTTGAGAAATTTCAAATTGATTTTTACAATATCTACATGAATTTACAAGCCTACTGTAGGAGCCAGCCAAGGAGTCGACTAGGGCACCCTCGTCGGTGTGAGGCTGAGGAAAAACAGAGACGGAAGAATAGATGGAGACACAAGACCAGTGCTGGGAGGGCTTCTGGTCAATACCAAGCAAGCCCTGGGTTTATTTCAAAGCCAGCTTATATAAAAACTGAAAGGCTAAAGTGGAACAAAGCACAGCACAGGAGGTCTAGCCTGTCCTCGATTCAAGGAGCAGGCAGGTTCATCATCTCAAACATGTGCCACCGGCTACCAGCAACAGCCTGCCTAGAACGGGACATTTGCTAAATAATTAGTTCTTTCCCACAAGCGAATCAGACTTTCTCACAGCCCCTGTACTTTTTCTAGGAGCCTTATCAGAGCTTTCTCTCAGCTTCTGAAGAGACTAGATTAAGCAAGATTTGAAGTCTTTTGGGTCAGAATAGACTTTAGCCTCAAGCTGAGTCACTGTGGGAAACTGAGTCACTGTGGGCTCCCACACCCTACCAACAATGTATAAGGGTTCCTTTCTCTTCACATCCTTTCTACACACACACACACACACACACACACACACACACACACACACACACACACCGACTTTTATTGTGTTTTTCAGATCCTGGAGTTTTCTAGAGTCAGTACATCTGCAACTAGGGACAGTTGATGTTTAGCCTTCCTATTGTTGTCTCTTTGAAGTATTTTTCTTTTTCTAATTTATTTTTTTATTATTAAGAAACTTCCTGTTCATTATACATACCAACCACAGATCCCTCTCCCCTCCCTCCTCCTACTTCCCAGCCATCTGCTCCCAACCCACCCCCCATTCCTACCTCCTCCAAGGCAAGGCCTCCCATATGGAGTCAGCAGAGCCTGATACATTCAGTTGAGGATGGGCCAAGCCCCTCCCCCTGAACCAAGGCTGTGCAAGGTGTCCCACCATAGGCAATGTGCTCCAAAAAGCCCTCTTAGGCACCAGGGATGGATCCTGATCCCACTGTCAGGGGCCTCTTCAACAGATCAAGCTATACAACTGTCTTGCCTATGCAGAGTGTCTAGTCCAGTCCCATGGAGGCTTCACAGCTATTGGTCTATAGTTCATGAGTTCCCACTAGTTTGGTTTGGTTGTCTTTGTACATTTCCCCATCATGATCTTCATGCCCTTAATCATGGAATCCTTCTTCTCTCTCTCTTTGACTAGACTCCTGGAGTTTGGCCTTGTACTTGGCTGTGGATCTCGGCATCTGCTTCTATCAGTTACTGGATGAAGGCTCTATGATGACATTTAGGGTATTCACCAATCTGATTACCAGGGAAGGCTAGTTCAGGTACCCTCTCCACCCTTGCTAGTAGTCTAAGGTGGGGTCATGTGGTGATATTTTATTTGTGCTAAAATATGGTGATATTTTATTTGTGTTTTAATGAATAAAGCTTTCCTGAATATCAGAGGGAAAAAAGCCAGCCATTATAAGTAAACAAAGAAATCAGGCAGTGGTAGCACACACCCTTAATCCTATCACTTAGTAGGCAGCTCCCAGTTTCTCTCTATCCCCTTGATGCCTCCCTATATCATGGCTTCTTTTTCATTGCTCTCCCACTCATTCCCTGTTCCAGCTCGACTCTCCCATTTGCTTATGTTCTCATACCCTATCCCCTACCTTTCATTGCCTCTCCTCACCCCCAGTTTACTCATGGAAATGTCATCTATTTCCTCTTCCCACTGCAATGCATGCATCCCTCTTAGGGCTCTCCTTGTTAGCTAGCTTCTCTGGAGCTTTGGGTTGCCATCTGGTTATCCTTTACTTTACATCTAGTATTCACTTATGAGTGAGTACATACCATGTTTGTCCTCAAGAGTCTGGGTGACCTCACTCAGGATGAAATTTTCTAGTTCCATCTGTTTGCCTGCAAATATCATGATGCTATTGTATTTTACTGTTGAGTAGTATTCCATTGTGTATATGTGCCACATATCCATTTTCTTGATCCATTCTTTGGTTGAGGGGCATCTAGGTGTTTCCAGGATCTGACTACTATGAAAAATGCTTCTATGAACATACTTGAGCATGTGTCCTTGTGGTATGATCAAGCATTCCTTGTGTATATGCCCAAGAGTGGTATTGCTGTGTCTTGAGGTAGATCAATTCCCAATTTTCTAAGAAAACAACATACCAATTTTGAAAGTGGATGTACAAGTTTGCACTCCCACCAACAGTGGAGGAGTGTTCCCCTTGCTGGACATCCTCTCCAACAAAAAGCTGTTATCAGTGTTTTTGATCATAGCCATTCTGACAGGTGAAAGATAATATCTTAGTGTTGTTTTGATTTGCATTTCCCTGATGACTAAGGATGTTGAGCAATTCCTTAAATGTCTTTCGGCCATTTGAGATTCTTCTGTTGAGAATTCTCTG